AGCAGTATAACTATTAGAACTATATATGGAGTTATACAGAAACATATGGAATTACTGAGAGCAATCCTCAGGTGACAAGTGCCCAGACTCTCTTGAAGTACAAAATCTTACCATAATATTCATGGAAACATTTTATTTTACTTTGTCTACAACCCTGTATCCCTCTTCCCTAATGTAGAGCCATCTTTTAGGGGAAAAAATTTAAGAGGAAGAAGAGAAAAAATTTCAGCAAAACCAATCAATGTATCAGAAAAAAAAATCTGACATTATATATAATAGTCTACACCCTTGGAGCCCCATCTCTGCAAAGGTGGGTAGGGGAAGGTATATGTATATTTTCAAATCTTTTTTGGGGGGCCAAGCTTGTTCTTTATAACTTTGCAATATTCAGTTTTGATTGCTTTGTGGCTGTTGGGTTTATAGCTGTAGTCGTGTATATTGTTTTCCTGGCTCTGCTCAACTTCACTTTGCAACATTTCATGAAAGTCTTTCCATGCTCTATATTTATTGTGTTTGCTGTTTCCTACAGCATAATAATAATATTCAATTATATTTATGTACCACAATTTTTTTAGTCATTCCACAGTTGGTGGGGATCTAGTTTGTTTCTAGGTCTTTACTGTTACAAAGTACTCCTTTTAATATTTTGAACTTTTCCTTTTTTCATTGACCTCCTTGATATATAAATGTCTGGAATCTTTGTGTCAGAGAATCTGAACATTTCAGTCACTTTATTTGAATAATTGCAAATTACTTTTCTGAATGGTTATACTAATTCATAGCTCCAACAACATTGTGTCTGTTTTAATATAACTCTTCTACCATTGACTATTCCATTGTTTTATCATCTTTACCAATTTGCTAAGTGCTTTGTGAAGCCTCAGGGTCATTTTGATTTGTATTTCTCTTATTGATGATTTGGAGCACCTTTCATATAGTTGTTAATAGTTTGTTTTGCAATTCTTTTGAAAACTATTCATGTCTTTTGACCACCACTCTCTTGGGAGAATGGCTTTTGGTCTTGTATATTTCTATTAATTGTCTATATATTTTGAATATCAAACCCTTATCAAAGATATTTGATATAAAATTTTTCTCCAGTCAGTTGTTCCTTATTATATATTGCCTCAATTTTTTTTGTTCAAAGCTTTTCAATTTCATGTAATCAGAATTATCTGTTTTATCTTTTATGATTGCCTCTATCCTTTGTTTGGTTAAAAATTTATCCTCTACCCTTAGCCATGGAAGATACACAGTCTGGTGTGATTTTTAATATTCAGGTCATATATATCCACTTTCAGTTCATTTTGGAATGTGGTGGAAAATGTTGATCTAACTCTAATATCTGCCATATTGCTTTTAAGTTTTCTCAAAAGTTCTCATCAAATGGGGAGTTCTTTCTTGAGTAGTTTAACATGAACATTTTGTACTTTGTACTCTTCAGACATTGCCTCCATACTTCATCTGCTCTTTCCCTTCACTCCTCCCCTTCTCATTGGAGGCATCCTTTGTTCTCAGAACTTTGCTACCTTGACTCCTACTCTTCATCCCAGCCCCCTTCAGCTCCCTTTTATATGTTGTCTTCTCCCATTAAAGTGTAAACTTCTTGAGGGCAGGAACTGTTTTTTGCTTGTATTTGTATCCCCAGCACTTTGCACAGTGCCTGAAACATAGTAAGTAATTAATAAAGATGTTTTGACTTGTGATGATACTTTCAGTTCACTTCAGCAAACATTTATTAACTCTGTTTAAGGACTGTGCTGGATACTTAGAATACAAAGTTAGAAATGAAACATTCTTAGCTCTTAGGAAGCTCCCTTCTACTGGGGTAAAGAGGAGGCATGAAATAAAAGAAAAATCTACACTGGAGAGCCTGGCTCGGAATTGTGTTGCTTCTGGAGAGAAACAAATTTTCTTGAGCACTGGGAGACAGAAAGGATGAGGTAGAGAGATCTTGGGTGAAGGGTGGTTTGTTCGTGGTAGATCAGAGGTTCCAAAGGAAGAAAAGAGCTGTGGAGGGGAGAGCTAAGGTGAATAGGGACTAGAGTGAGTGCAAAGGTAACAAGGAAAAAGGCTTGCTGCCTTGGTGGGTGGCAGCTCTGCATTCTGTGGATTAAGGGAATAAATGTAGGAGTTTGCCAGCCATGGATGAGAAGGACCAGTTGATCAGGGTCACATCCTGACTGAGGATACTTCTGAGCTGGAGCCCATGACATGAGCTTGGCTTCTGATACCAGGGGCTGGCTTTAAAGGCAATTAGGAGTCTTTGCTGGTGATCAGATACTTATGCTGCTAGATTTGTTGCCTCCTCAAAGATAGTGGGCAAAGAGTGGTACAGGGGAAAGAGCTCTGGCTTTGCCATCAGAGGACCTGGGTTCAGATTCTGCTTCTAATGATTATTGTTAGGTGACCTTCAGGAAGTTGCTTATTCTTTTTGGGCCTCAGTTTCTTCATAAATATGAGGTTGGATTAAATGACCTTGGAGGTCTCTTAAGTTCTATGTCTGTGATCCTTTGTTCTCTATACTACTTCAGTTCTCATCAGCTTCCATGGATTTAATTACCTTAATTTTAATTTAACTGTCAATATCTCTATGCTGATGATTCTCAAATCTCCTTTCCTGCCCCAACCTCTGCCGACCTCCATCTTGCATCCTCAGCTACTTTTCAGACATCTTGAACTGGATATCAATATATCTGAAACTCAGTATATCCAAAACAGAATTCATCATCTTTTCCCCTACACTCTTTTTCCTACCTTCTCTATTACTGTAGAGGGCACCACCATCCTCCTACTCCTTAGGCTCCCAACCTAGCAGTCTTCCTAGGTTCCTCACTATCTCTTACCTGCTATATTCAAACTGTTGCCAAGACCTGTTGATTTCACCTTTGCAACATCTCTCGAATCTGTCCCCTTCTTTCCAGTGACACTGCCACCACTCTAGTGCAGGCTGTCATTTCCTCACATCTAGACTATTGTAATAGCCTTACTCAAGTTTCTCCCTACCAATCTATCCTCCATGTCAAATTCAATGTGAATGGGCCTTCGTTTGATCCTAATGGCAAAGGAAAAATTGATAAATGAGAGGGAGAGTAAGAGTTGATGGTTATCTATATGAAAAAATGGTATGTAGGAGCCTATATGCCATAGTGGTGAATTAGGATTTTTAAAAAATTATTATTATGCTGTTTGGGCATTAGCCATATGAGATCATAGAAATAAGAGATGGAAAAGACCTACTGTATTAGGTCATGTAGTCCATCCCCCTCTGCCAAAGCTGGATTGTTCCCTACAGTATATTTTCCAGGGCTCTGTCCAGTTTTTTAAGTGACTCAACTGATGGAGCTTCCACCAGCATTGGGTTCCCTAATGGTACAAAAGTGTTGTTTTCTGAGATTGCTAACTTTTGTCAGTGATTTATTCTTTTGCTTGATGATGAACAACATTTGAGAATGCTTTAATTCCAGATCACATAAAATCTACTTTTGAGGTTGTACCAGCCATATTTTTCAACATTGTTTTAGGAAGGTTAATCAAATGACATAAAAGAAAGACCAGGCTTTCGCCCATTTAAAGACCGTCGTTCCTGGTTTGGCCATCAGACTCCAACCTGTGTGCTGTTTTCTGTGTTAATGATACATTTACAGTAAATGAGAGAGCCAAATGGGAGCAGTTACTTCTGAGAAGGAATTGCATACTATTTTTTCACCTTAAAAACACAAAATATTGTTGTTAATGACCATAGTAACAAAATATTTGGAAAATATCTGTAGAGATATTGATCCATTGGGAGAGAAAGTAGATGTAATACTGGATGTCCCCATTTACCAATTCAGATTCTCCAGTTCCTTTTTGTTGACCCAATAAATGATTTGTAGATTTTCCTAAAGATGTTGAATATGAGTGGTCTGTCATTGATATTTCTTTTAAAATGCATCCTTCTTTTAGTGTCAGGTTGAATGGATTCAGAAATTGTGCTCAGACCCTGGAAATGTTTATCTAATTGAAATAATAGTTAACAACATGATTAAGCTCAGTGGAATTGCAGTAAAATTTTTGCCCTCATTATTTTATGAAAAATCTGAAGAACATGGCATGAAGTCAGAAAAACTATAGAAACATTTCAGTTTCTTGATGAGGTCACACTGGCCAGTTCTGTCCTCTTCATTATGCTATCTAACTTCTTTGGTGGTTTGGTCATTGTGATTTTAAATATCTTCAGCAATGTAATTTTAGTTTGAGCATATTTATTCCATAGGTTAGTAAATCTCACTGTTTTTAAAACTCAGTTTTTCTTTAATCATAGTACCACTGTTTAATATTTATCTTTAACTGAATAGGTTTTAGTGTATGCTACATTATGATTTCATCTCCCTTCCAATGTCAGCCAAGATAGATTTAGTTCTTTTCATCTGTCTTCAATCCCACCAACCCTTGGATTATTTCTATTGCTTTCTCTGCTTCTCCACCCTAGTTTGTCAGTAGTGGGTGTGGTGTTGCCTGGAATTGAAGAATAAAATTTTCCAGGTGCAGTCTCACAGCATTTTTTTCCCATGAGGCCCTGTGGCCTTCCAGTCCATTATATATCTTTGTTCTTTGAACGATCACATCAGCTCCAGTGTTTTCTTTTGTATCAGAGTATTTGTTTTTTAATTTATCTTGTGACCAGTTCACTTCAACAAATGTGTATTAATTAAGCACTGTGTTAGGTGCTTGGAATACATGGACAGAAGCAAAACAAATCTCTGTCCTTAAGGAGCTTACATTCCACTAGAGGGTTCAACATGTATAGAGATATGTACATACAGGGTGATATGAGGAAGGTGATATCTGGGAAAAAATCTGAGAAGGCTTCAGGGAGAAAGTGGCATCTGAACTGAACCTCCACTGTGTAGGGCATTTCAGGAGTGTAAATGTATGGATGCAAGAGATTTCTTCTCCTTTAACTTCCTTTGATTATGAATAGGTGTTTGAAGAGTACTGCTGTGTTTCTCTGATAGATCTTGAAGAAACTGAAGAGCATTGCTCTAGAAACTGAGACAGAACTCGAGAGGCAAGATGAAGTTCTTGATGGCCTGACCTCCTCCGTGGAGCGCACGACCCTGACTATCGATAAGCAGAATCGTAGGATGAAGAAGCTGCTCTAGAACTTCAGGCGGAGAACCGGTGGTTTGGTGGTAACATGAAACTCTCAGGAGACACAAGTGACTCTATTTTTTAGAATAAGTGATTATCTTAATGTGTTGTTCTCTCATTGTTTCTGTAGTCTTCATTTATAGAGAAGACACCGTGGAATAATTTCCAGGATTGGATGCATGTTTGGAAGCCTTCTCCCAGGAGCAGAAGAAGCAGAAACTTTAATCATGGTGTAGTGGTTGAAGTCAGCTATCTGTCGCTAAGACTCTTTACAGACAGTGTGGTTCAGGGGTCTTGAGGACTTTCACTAAAGAGATTCCCATGCACTGAAGGAGAAGTTGTAGATTTTTTTTCTTTTTGGAGGGGGAACTTTAGTTAAAAAAAAAAAAGAAAGAAAGAACAACTTCTTTTTTCTGTGTGAAAGCCTCAGTGCTTTAGGCTCTTTCAGTGTGTGAGCTTGTGTGGTGCATTTGTTTGTTTGTTTTCCTGGAATGGAAATTGGATCCCTGGTTTTGATGCTAACTAGGTAAGTGACTATGGGCAAGTCACATAGTCCCCTTAGGCCTTAGTTTACTCAATTATGAGAAAAACTACCAGTAAGAAAATTGGACTAACTTATCCTTAAGATCCCTTCCAGTCTACCATTCTATTACATCTGTGAGAGAAAAAAAATACTTCTACCTGTTTAGTGAAATAGAGATGGAGTACAGAAGCATTCTTGCTTCTGGATACTGTATTAAAACTCTGGGGAAGCCATAGGTGTGATGTTTAACACAAAGTGCCAAATGCAGAAATTCCATTTTAAATAATTTTGTGTAGTTTCTAAGTAATTCACATATCAGCTTCTTGGGGTTTCCCTCTTTTAGATGTTAGTGCAACAAACAAAATTGACAGTTGCTGTATTTGAATTATTGCAGCCTCTTCTACTAAACTTCAAAGATGAGGTAGGTTTTTGAAAGTTGATTGTGTTTTAATCAGAAGAGGAAAATTAAAGCTCTCCAGAAAGAAGTCATTCTGCCTTTTTGAGTACAGGTATACCCTGTTTAAATACAACCTATTGCTTGGTTGCATATTAAGCTCTGAATATTTTTCTTAAAAGCTTTCAAATGAATTCCCTTCCAACCCTTGAAAACCTAGTGCTCCTTACAGTGCCTGTACCTGAGGGAGATCATTCCCTTTGGGACTTTAAAACACTGCAGAGGCTGCTTGGGCATTAATCACATATATTCCCTGTTAGATGTGGAAATTAATTGACTCCATTTCTTTCTTGATGGTTTTCTTTGATAGAGTAGGTTTATGAAATTGTGCCAACGGACTGTTCTATTTTTCTTTTTAATTTTACTGCAGTTTTCTAGCTGAGAACACCTCCAGGATATCTTATAAACACCTTAAATTTTCATTTACTGCCCAGTTCTTTAGCCAAAAATAAAAAAGAGGCAGCTAGTTATGTAGTGTATTTTAAAAACTCATGTTGGTCTTTGTTTTTACTGCCTCATTTCTAGCCAGAATTGAAAGAAAACTTCTATATGTAGTGTACTTTTCAAAACCTGTATTGATTTTGGGGGGTTTGATTTGTGTGTTTCAGTTAGCAGACCAGAAGTTAACACTTTCTCTTCCTGGTAAGAATTACTCTTGAAACAAAGCTCTTTGTGGTCTACAAACTCCATTCTGGAGGTGGGGGTTAGGATGGGGTTGCGAAGTGTAATGAAAAGTAGATTTGTTTCTGGATATCATTCCTTCATAATCACTGTTTTTATCTTCTCATCACGTATACCACTAATGATTTATTACCATTTTAAAAATATTTTACTTTCAGACTCTTGAAATAATATAATGAAGAAATATCTTTAGGCATATTATCAAGACAACTTTTTTTGGAAATGCTGGTGTTTGGGGATTAATTTTTATTCCATTAACAAGTGTAAAAGGGTTGTTACAACTTGTTATGAAAAAATTGGAGGTGTGTTGAAGTCATCATTTAGACAACTGTTGATATTGGCAACAACCCAACACGCCATATCAGTTTAGGTTGTGGCACTTTATGTTTGCATACTTGGTACCTTGATGATTTTCCTAAAGACTACTGAAAAATTGTGGATAGAAGAATGATGCTACCATGTTGATCACCTTGGTGGAAGGCTGACATTCTACCTCCAGAAAGCATAGAAGGTAATCATCTCAGAAGCGAGGCTTCACAATTCCAGAAGTTGTTCTTTAAGTCCTTTATGTTTCATTCAGGCCATACCTAGCTTTCCCTCCCAAAGTTAGAATTGGGCCTCCTGGAATAAAGCCCAACTTATTTCAAAGGCTCTTTTTTTCCAGGATGGTCTTATGAATAATAATGTCTTTTTGGAGCATTTTCCTTGGACAATTATAGAATTTGGTGAGCTTTGTGGAGCTTAGGACTACTCATTTTAGAGGTTCATAACATTTTAGCTTAGTTCTATGTAAATATTTGAATCTCTTCATACCATTAAGCACTGTAGCTTCCATCCATATCCCTTTGGAGAAGATATGATAAGTCAGACCTACCCTCAAACCAAGGTATTTTTCTTACCACATATTAGAGTATGTAGTTTTCTTTAGTGTGCTAAAAAGATAGGCAACATACCATGTACATAAATTATTGTGCTAGATTTGGAGGAGGTCACAAAAAAAAGGAATAGAGGCCCTGCCCTCACGGAGCTTGCACCTAAGAGGTGAGACATCACAAGATGTTGACAATACAAAATAGCATAGAAGTACCCACAGAGTTGAATCAACAATTAGTCCCACATGCCTTCGGAGAAGGTGAGACACTTCTGTTAATCAACAATGGATGTCAAGAGAACAATCATAAAATTAATACCAAAATTTACAGACCACCTTAGCTTTCTGCCCCTCTTCTCAGCTGGAGCTTGCCCGGAAGAATCATTATCTCCGTGAGCTATGGCCACTCCCCAGCTGGGACTGCTACCATGACAAGCCTGTATGCAGGCTCTGTTAGCAGTTCCTGCTTCGGGCATTTATAGCATGAGTCAGCAGGGCATAGTGGACAGGAGACTAGACTTTAGGTTCACAAGATCTGGGTTTGAATCTCACTCAGCCTAGGCACGTCATTTCCCTTCTCTCAGCCTCAGTTTTGTCATCTGTAAAATGGGGGTAGTAATACCTGTAACATAACCCATGTCTGTTATGAGGATCAAATAAGAAAGGATGTTTATAAAGTACTTTGCAAATCCTAAAATTTTTTATAAATGTTAGCTATAACATGCACACAAGTACATACACATACACAGTATGTACTATGTATTTATGTTTGCATACATTTGTAAAAAATCAGGATAACCATTCTAACATGAGACTACAAAGGCAGGACCCCCGAAAGAAACTAGGAAAAAAATACTTTAATGTTCTTCCAGCAGGCTATGATTCTATTTTGTATTGAAACAGTCAGTTTACATGATAGATGTGGAATGATATCATAGAAATGTTGTAAATAATCGATGTTGATATAATCCCTATCTATCAGATTAGTAGAGGAAGGAATCATAATGCCTCCTTACTTTTATATGGAGCTTTCCAATTTTGAGAACTTTTTCATATGTTAACTCATGATTTTCACATCAGTGCTATGAGGCAGGGAAGGTAGTATTGTCTCAGTTTTACAGATGTGTTTCCTTTCATTTAGAAAAATTCTGGCATACCCAAGGCAGCATCTCTAGGGATATAATTGTGACGAGGACTAAATTTTCTGACTCTAAGGCAGCGAGTATTGGAGACAGTTAGAAGAACATATGTAACTCCTGCAAACCCTTTGTCAGGCTAAATGCTGACAAGGATTGACAAATGCCAAAATCTAGTGTCTTACACAGACCTCTTAGCCAGTATTCCTGTATTGCACCCGTTTGTTTTCTCTTGATCCCCCTTGATGAGGATCAGAAAAACCTTTATTTCTAAAAAAGGTCATGTTATTAGGCAGATGCTGTTCAAATTTACTACTGCTGCACATCCTGTGGTCATTTGTTTACTCTTAGATGTCCTGATTTCAAGAAGACAAATTTAGATATGTGTGCAATGATTCCCTGGCATGTTTCAGTTCTTTATGTGTAGCTACTACTCAGGGGAAAGCTTTCAAAAGTTGTACCCCAAGTTATTGCTCTGCTTTCTTCTCACTCGTAACCCTTCCATGTAACTTCTTCACTACAATTACTTAGATTGCTGTAGACTGCAAGCAGATAAATGCTAGACTTAACTTCCATACAAAAAGAAAGAGAATTCCAGGGTAAGAACTGTTTACAATGAAAAATAGCATCAGTCAAACTCAGAGACTGAACATACTTTTAAGTTTAAAGTGCTAACTAGGCCCAGTCATAGTATTATGGAATCAGCTGCTGCTCTTGGCATTGCTACCTCAGATTTAAAAGTAGCCATTGTATATTAGCTTAGCTTACCCTGGTATTGCCTGAACTGACTTCTTGTAGTTTAACCTCTTAACTTTAACCCAAATCTTTGTCTGTGAAGGAAGAAGATTCATTACTAGTTCTGTCCCAAAATTAGTATGCTTCTGGTCAAAATCTATTGATATTGCAATGTAAACTTATCAGTCCCGAAGTTGCCCTCTTAGTAAAAGTCTCAGCTAATAAATTAGAATGTATAAATAACTTGTCCCAGAAACCTTGATTGCTTCTCAGCTTCCTTGTTTATAGCTTGTTTTCTGGATGCTTCATTGAGTTTTCCTCGAGAATCTTAGAATCTCATATTGGGAAGGAATATCAGAAGTCATCTAGTACAACTTGAACAAGAGACTCCTATAACATCCCTGAAAAGTAGTCATCCAGCCTTTGCATGAAGACCTCTAGTGACAAGGGAACTTGCTGTGTTCTGAAGTATCCCACCTCACTTTTGGGTGGCTCCAATTGCTGAGCCATTTTTCATGACATCAGATTTAAATTTGTGTCTTTGCAGCTTCCATCCATTGTTCCTGGTTCTGCTTCCTGGGCCCAATTAGAAGAGGGCTGATCCTTTTTTTACATGACGGCTCTTCAGATTCTTGAAGGCAGAGATCTTCCCTCCCCCTGAGCCTTCTCTTTTTATTTAAGCTCAATAACCCCAATTGCTTCAACCAGTTCTCATATATGTAGTGTGATCTTGAGGCCTTTCACCATCCTAGACTTCTTGGTCTGTGTGCATCAGCCAGGAGGAAGTGTCCAGAGAATACAGAGTGGAGTGAGGGGTGGTGACTGAGGCTTTTCTGAAATTGTGGTCCAGAAGAGGCAGTCATTGTTCAGGACATTGGGGCTTTGGGGTGGACTTTTTCTCTGGAGTAGCAAGGCAGTTAGGGAGGCTATGGATGAGCTGCCTGAGGAATAGGGAGTAAAGATGGTTTCCAGGCTCCTCTTCCTGAGTTCTGCTGCATTCCTTCCATTCTTCACTGGCTTTCAGAGGCAGTCATGCCTGTCATTTCTCCCACTGCCCTGGGATAAAGTTTGTCTGGGTCTAGTATCTTGAGCTTATTCAGGCATCTAAATACTTCTTTCTATCTCCCTACTTATCTTTGGTGTCAGCTCCCTATTATCCCTTTTGTGCCATCCATGGCAGAAAATAGAACAGAACAGGAACAAAAGAGTTGAAATAATTTTGACTTTTCCCATAGCTCTGCACGCCCTGGATCACATGTCCATTCTGCCCTTCCACTGCCCTGCTACCGCTACCACCCTTTCTTATCCAGACCACTAGAGACCAGGAACAGGAAGAGCAGAAACCACTCAGGAAGCCTCTGCATCCTTTGTCACCATATCTTTATCTTTATCCTGGTTGTTTTCTGCCCTGCCACCATGGGGGTACTTCTCTTCTCCCTTTCCATCTTTTGCTCTGCACATTGTAATCAAACAAACAATACCGTTGTCTTTGGAAAGAGAATGTCAGTGGACTGCCTTCTCATTCCACTTACCATCTTCATGACTTCCCACATCAGATCCCCCTCAGAAACTGCTCCCTGAATGTGTTGTCTCCCTCTGTTAGAATGTAAGGGTGAGTAAACATGTCCTTGTATCTCCAGTGCTTAGCACAGTGCTTCACACATGGTGAGGGCTTAGTAGGGCTGAATTTCTGTGTGGAGTTTTAGGTCATTGAATCCTACCTGTCCTTTCTCTGAATCCTTTGAAAATTATCTCCTAAAATCTAGAATAAATAGCAAACTGTGCCCAAGTTTCCTTTTGTAAACTAATGATGTGGAGTGACCACTTTTCACCAAGACTCCCATTATCTCTACTTCAGCAACGAGTTCCTCGTGGTTGGTGAGAATCAGGTTCAGAATGGCCTTTCCCTTCATTGTGTCTTGTTCCTTTTAAAGGATGAAAATACTGTGAAAGGAAGCCAAGAAATTAACTGCTCTGCTTTTGGCAGAGAGAAGGAGAGTTCTATCACATGTCCAGATAATTAAAGGCTCTCCTCACTACTATGTTATATTACCATACCAAGCTTGTGATCTGTTTCCCAAAATCCTCATCTATTTCCCTTTCTTGACTTATTGGTCAGTAGTATATTCTGATAACAATATCAGTTGTATTTTTTTTAATCAATTGATAATTTACTCAAATGTTTTCTACTCCTTATTCCCATTTTCTGGCTCTTATATCTCTTCACGTGTCTTTTTTATGGTATTTTACCATCTCTGTTGAGTACTTTGTTCTTTTTAAATGAATTATGTACTTCCAGAGCTGTATGCTAGTCATGGGCCCCATCTTAGTGACCCGTGAAATCAATTCTGTCTTCTGTTAAGATCCCTTGCTCACTTTATTATCTATATTTTATGCATTCATATATTTTACTACTGATTTATTTCATGGATTTTGTCTCCTGTAAATTCATTGGGCAATTGTTATTTTTCTTTTTGTTGATCACAGTTGTTCTTTATGGTATTTCTTGGTGATCTCTCTGTCTCTCTCTCTCTCCCCCCCATCTTCTTTTTTCTCACCCTCTCTTTCTCTTCCCTCGGTCCTCAGTTTCTTGCCTAAGACTTCAGAATCCTTAGCAGTGCTTCTTAAATTTCTTTCAACAGTATCATTATCTTCCACATGCATCGCAAGTGGGTAGTGGTCATTAGGTCTGATAAGTCTTACAAGGGGGACAAGTTTCTGTAATGCAATAGACATGTGCCACAAGAAGACCATGGACCTGTCCTCTAAGAAACAAAGATAGGCTGTAGCCTTCTTTGTTTATAGAAAAAAATTCTGGTGACCCACGACTTCATCTTTGAAAAGGAGTTGTATGTTGTTAATAACAGGACTCTGTGTCCTTACTGATAGATGCTGAATACCGTAGCTAAAGGAGATCAGGTTAATTACTTCTAAAAAAAAATACCGTTCTTCCTTTCCTTTCATCTTTACTTCTCTTCCCTGACTTCACAAAAAAGAAGCAGCATTAAATGACACCTTAAGTATCTTACTACGAATCTTTGTCCTAAGAGTCATAAACACTATAGGTTTCCTGCAGAGGTCAGGAAAGCACCCTGAAGTAGTGGTCGGTTTAAGGATGCCTCTTCAGAGAATGCCATTGCAGGTAAGTAACTCTTCTGACCCACTGAAATGTTATTTTAGCTCTATATTAAATGACTTTTTATCTCTATTATAGTGGTATTGCTAACTTCATTTGTTTTAATTTTCTTTTTATTTCCTAGATATTGAAATTGTGACTTAAGACATTTGTATTTGAATGTATGAGCAAAGCAATTTTTATAGAATTAATTTACTGAGACCAGAAAATTTTTTTTCTGTAGAATTAAATATCTTAATTTATTTTGACTCTGATGGTCCCAGAAGAATTACTTATGCTTGTATATTCTTAATAGTTTTTATTATTGTGCTTAGTTTCACATTGTTTATAATTGTAGGCAAAGGTAAAACTAATTTCCATGCAACTGTAATGAGTGTCAACATTGAACATTATCCAAAATAAACTACTTTGACGTCTTATGAAAAACTGATAAGCATCTGGAAAAGTTGTGTTCTAATTTTCTAATGGTTATATTTATTGAGTTGGTTTCTTGTTATATGTTCAGAGCCTTATCACTATGTGTTCTGTGATTTCAGCCCTCAAATTTGCAACCATATACTTAGTCTTATTTAGAGATTTTTTTCCACTGGAATATAAATGTTTACATAATCAGTTTTACTCTTATTAATTAAATAATTCCAATCACTATATTTCTCTGGTTAGTTCTACATTAGCTCCACTAGCAGCTAATATATCTGTTTTGATTAAGTAGACATAAGTTACTAAGCACAATAGAGGTGTAAGCATGGTTCCTGCCAATGCCTGTAAAGCCAGCAGCATCTCCTGCTTCATAGCTGTCTTAGAAAAGGGTGAGCTCTTAGTTTTCGTAGGTTCTGAGACTGAAAACAAGCAGTTCTCTTCTTTCCTTCACAGCAGAAAAGTACTAAAATGATGCATGGTATCACTAATATATAGGTTCTTATAATCACCTAAACATGAGCAACAATTAAAAATGAGAATACAAAGTATTGTCCATTAGGCAGGTGTTATCCCCATTAGACAGAGGAGAGACTTGGGCTCCAAGAAGATGCATTTCCCTGTGGTCAGTCAGCTAGTAAGCACTAGGGGTCAGAATTCAAACCCATGTCTCTTGATGTCAAATCTAGTGATATTTTCACTTTTCCATATTGCCTCTCTAGAATGCTTACTTCAGAAAATGATACCAAGGACTCATTAAAATAAATGATTTATCATTAGGGAATTACTTAGAGGTGACCTTGTATTACTGGGTACTCCCCTTAAGCCATAATCTTGCCTTCTTCTGCCAGTTTAATCCTTATTTTATGCATTTATCAAATTTGAAAGTCATTCAAATTATAGTCTGTTTTTGCATTTAGAACTGAATTTCCAAATAGCATTATTTAAAGGTTTTTTGGGGTTTTTTTACACAATTTGAAAGTTTTTCTCTTTTGGTTTTTTTTTTCCATTAGTGTTGGAGGATTGAATTGAATTTCTAGAGATATGAGTTTTCCTGATTTATTTTGAAAGGTGTAAGACTACATGGTTAATATCTTGGGTCTTCTAAAGGCCAAGTGTGGCTCCCTGGGTTGCCATGGTGGTCTAGATGACTGAGAGGAATTGTTTAGTTAATCTGACAATACTGTTTATAAAAGTCATAAACTACCAGCTTCCCACAGAAAGATGTACTTAATAGAACCCTGAAGCTGAAAGGAAAGGAAGAGGGTTAGGTTGAGGGGAGGTAGGGTGATGATGGGGTGTTTATTTGGATAGCCCTGTGGAAGTGAATCTAGGATTCTCCCAGCGTGTTCACGACAGAAGACACAAGCACTGATCCACTTACGCAGGGTGGTGACAGTCTGTGAGGTAGGTAGGCAGTGTTGTGTGGTGAACGGAGCACTGGATTTTGGTCAAAGGTCGAGGGTGTGAATCCTGCCCTGCCATTTACTATCTGTATGATGAAGGACAGATCATTCTCACACTTCACTTTCCTTCTTTGTAAAATGAGGAAGTTGAGCTACATTAGGGATGTGTTGGAGCAAGATTGCCTGGTTCAGGAGAGCTGATTGTTAAATTTTCGTTGCAAGCATTTACACCTTGGAAATAAGCAAATCCTACCAATCACAGCTTAATTTATTGTTTTTGTTGATTGTTCACATCCATTGTATGTAGAGGAAATCCTTTGGTAGGCCAGAGGTTGTGCAGACTTGGTCTAGAGTTCATAGGTTCAGAAAGTGGGCGATACTGCTCCTGGGGAGCTCTGGAACAATGTAGGGGGGTGGTAGTAGTTTGAAATAACACAAATATTTTTTTTTAAAAACCATTAAAGGGTTAAAGAAAGTAGATTTTCAAAGAGGCACTGAGTAATTTTTTTAAAGGGGGGATGGTAGGCCAAATAAGTTTGGGAACCTCTGTCTCTAGACTAAAGAAAGTGATGGAGAAAATGCAGACTAAAGTCTGTCATGCCTATATTTACCCCAGTCCAAGAGCTGGTTGTTAAACATCTACTAGCACACTCCTGAACTAGATGATCTCTAAGGTTCTTTCATGATGGAATGTGCTATAAATCCTGTGCTCTTATTTCCATTTTGCAGCTGAGAAAAATGGGTTCAGAGAGTGGAGGATGGGCCCCAGGTCCCTTAGGTGGTGGAGTGTCGAGTCAGGGCCAGCCAATATCTAGCTTGGACGTTCTTGCCACGACTGCCTTGAGTTTTGAGGATTGCCAAGCGTTCCAACATGAGAACATTTGCACTGATTTGATACAACCCATATCCAGTGATTTTATTTTTAGTTGGCAGATAGGGTCTTAAGGAAGCCAGTTGTTGAGACATCTGTTTGCAGGGGAACGAGAACTGAGCTGGAATCCGAGGACCTGGGCCCAGCAACGTCAGCTCTGTAGGAGCTTGGGAAAGTGGGCACCACTTTCCTCCTCTGTTTTTTAAAAAAAAAAAAGAGGGGGGATTGAACCAAATCCTTTCCACTTTTTAACCTGGGAACCTGAGGTCTGAATAGATCTCGAGTGTCTTTGACCTCATTCAGCAGGCACTGTGATTTCATTTCCCAGAGTCAAGGGGAGAACAGTCTTCTGCTGCAGTTAGTTTTCTCTCAGACCATTGTTCCTAGGACATCTCTTCTGGAACCACAGGAAAGGTAAATGAGATTAAAAGTGACCATAATATGCCAATCGGATTCCCTTCCAAAACTCGGAGTTAGAAAATGGAAGCTCTTTGCTGATTCATTAATATCATGGATAGGCAGCAGCAGCATCTGTGACTTGCCTGTTATTGGCAGTGGTGTACTTGGACATATATAGAAAAATTTCTGAAATTTTTGCATTGTGGTTGCCTCTGTTCATCTTTCCTATCAGTAGATATTGCCATCCATTTCACCATGCCTTTTTTCCCTGCTGCCTTGTACTTTCAACCTTTTAAATTCCAGTGTTGGCGGTCTTCAGGGGAAAAGAACCCAGGAAAATAGGATAAAGAGTGAAAAAGCAATAAATGGTATCAGAGCTGTTACAGTGCAAGCACTGTTCTATGAGGAAAACAATTGAAGTGAAATGGACATGCTAACAAAATTGGTGAAGAGGGGAAAGGAAAGTTAGTCCAGGTTAAGGGCATTCAAGGAAAAACTCCATGGGATTTATCCTTTAATACTAACACTGTGCATTTTGAGGTTTCTTCTCACACCCAGCAGACCAGCAAAGATGATAAAAGATGGGAATGGTCAGTATTGGAGGGGTTGTGGAATGATAACCACACTAATATTGGTCCAACCATGCTGAAAAGCAGTTGGGAATTCTGCTAAGAAGGTGATGGAAATAGCACATACCTTTTGATCAGAGATCTCACTTTTAGGCATATATTCCAAGGAGATCAAAGATAGAAAGGACCCATATATGCCAGTATATTTATTGTAGCATTTTTTTTTGTAATAGCAAAGAATTGGAAACAGTAAGTGCCCATTAATTGGGGCATATCTAACCAAATGATAGTCATGTCATGGACTGGTACCATGCCTTTAAAAAAAAAAAAGGATGACTGAATACTACAGAGGTTCATGAGAAGATCAATGAACTGTTGCAAATGAAGTAATCAAAACCAGTACCTGATACCTAATGACTGCAGCAATGCACATGGAATGAACACAAAAGAAAACCTCAGTACTGTGCAGTCATAATCACCAGGGTTGGTCCTGAAGATGAGATATGGAGTGCATCTCCTTTTCTTTGCAGAGGAGGAGAACTGTGGGTGTCAGACACTATACATATACTGTCAGATTGGGTTGATGTGTTCTCTAGTTTTGCTGAACGTTTTTTCCCCTTTCTAACCCTTCTTTATTGTAAGGGATACCTCTGGATGAAGGAGGGAAGGAATATTTTGGGAAATAAAAATTATGTAAATATGAAATATGTCAATAAGATTTAAAAAAAGATTTGACATTTGTTCTTTTAAAGGGTTTCAGTGGTATTCTCTTGATCTAATGGTGGCCTTGCAGTTTCTTGCAAGTGGAGCACAAACCCTGAACAGGTTCTACCATTCTCAAAAAGCTTGGAGACGATCCAGTGATGGGTTATTCCTTGGACACTTAATCCAAGTGAATGTGGAAAGGTTGGTTCATCAACAGAAGTTTGGCTGGTGTCATAAACTTTGTCACTCCAGCTCACAGAGACACTCTGTACAAGTTAAGAGCTTAGCACGGTACCTGGCACAGAGTAGGTTTTTAATAAAAGTTTTTTGACTGATTGAAGTGGTGGGCTCTGTGTTACGGGAGGGTGTGCAATGCTTGAGTAAATCATGGCCATTTTGAAGTTTTGTGGTACCTGTTTACTTATCACAATATATTATAGGTAGTCTTAATTTATGGATGGCTTATATTCCAGAAGTTCATTTGGAAATCAGAGCTTAGATACATTTTCCCATAGACATCATGTCAAAAGGAAGGCAGTTAGGCTCCTAGGTCAGTCCACAAAAAAAAAATTTAACATATAATGTAACTTAACTCATACTAAAAGCATTATCACACACACAAACTCCCCCCCATGATCC